AGAAGGAATCCACAGCATACATACAGGCTGGGGAGTTCCCTTCTTGAAAGCACGGAGGCGGAAAGGGATCTTGGAGTCAAGATGAACATGAGCTGCCAATGCCAGACCGCAGCCAGCAAGGCCAGCCATGCCTTGTCATGCATCCATGTTAAGCCGATCCAGAGAGGTGATACTCCCCCTCCATGCGACTTTGGTCAGGCCGCAGTTGGAGTACTGCGTCCGGTGCTGGGAAATGCACTTCAAAGGGATGTGGCCAGCCTGCAGAGGGTTCAGAGGAGGGCCACCCGCTTGGTGAGAGGGCAGCAGGACAGGCCATACGAGGCGAGACTGAGGGACCTGAACCTGTTCAGCCTCTGCAAGAGGAGGCTGAGGGGGGACCTGGTGGCTGCATACAAGCTCATCAGGGGGGATCAACAGCAAATAGGCAGAGCTCTTTTCTCCCCAGCACCACCTGGGGTGACAAGGAACAATGGTCATAAGCTGATGAGGAATAGGTTTAGGTTGGAGTGCAGAAGGCAATATTTTACAGTTAGGGTGGCCAAAATCTGGAACGAACTTCCCAGGGAGGTGGTCCTCGCCCCTACCTTGGGCAAATTCAAGAGGAGGTTGGACGATCACCTGTCTGGGGTCTTGTGAACCCAGCATTCATTCCTGACTGTGGCAGGGGGTCAGGCTAGATGATCTGTTCAGGTCCCTCCTGACCCTAGCTACTATGAAACTATGACAGAGTATATTGAAGAGTTATTCCACAACAGTTGAGAAGAAAAGCCAGATTAAGAAGAACGTGGATGGTTTGAAAATTCTCAAGTCATAAGCATGAACAGTTATCAACCAAATGAAAACCAATAAAGCTGAAATTGCAGTAGAACAAATAAATACATTGTTTGGAAGAGTTTGGTGTAGAAAAGTTAACAACTGTTATCAATGAGATTTATGAAAGTGGAGAAATACTTGAGGACCTCAGTAAATCGATCAAAAAGACCTGAAGCCATTGAATGTGAACTTCCATCTATTTAATAAGCCATGTGACAAAGATCCTATTGAAGGTGCTGATGATGAGAGCTACAAGAATAAAACCAGAGATTGCAAAAGTTCTGTGGTTTTGTTGAAGATCGAGGTAAGAGAAATGCTATCTTCATGGTACAAATGCTTTCGGTGAAGGCAATAGAAGGCAATAGAAATAAGGAAAGACCTTTTCTTGTGTTTTATTGATTATACCAAAGATTTTATTGATTATACCAAAGATAAGAGTCCTGCATGAGGAACTAATGAAAATGCTGGAAGAACTGGATATTGATGGTAAAGACTGGAGAATTTTAAGAAACCTCTATTTGGGACCAACTGCAGCAGTGAAGATTGAAAATGAACTAAATGATTTCACCCAAATTGAGAGGTGTATGGCAAGGCTGTGTTTTTTTCACTTGACTTTTTCAACTTGTATAGTGAGAAAATACTGAGGGAGATTGAGGATTTACCACGGCTGGTCATTGGCAAACAGAATTTGAACAACTTGTGTTATGCTGATGACACAATCTTAATAGTTGATCCAGAAGAGAAGCTGCAAGGAATCTTAGATAAAATTGGTAGTGAAAGTGAGAAGGCGGCTCTAAGTATCAACTGTAGAAAACCAGAATGCATGGTAATTACAAAGATCATTCCTGTATGCACCATTAAAGTGCAAAAGGAACAGATAAAGCAGGTCAATAAATGTAACTACTTGGGAAGTTGGATAACATCTGATGGTAAATCTGGTCAAGAAATAAAATGGAGAATAGGAATGGCAAAAGACGTATTTCTGAAAATGAAAAAGATCTTGACAAATAGTAAAATTTCTATGGGGACGAAGTTAAGAGTTTTGGATTGCTAGGTTATACCAGTCCTCATGTATGCATCAGAATGCTGGATAATGTGGCTGAGTATGGAAAAGAGAATTGAAGCAACTGAGATGTGGTTTTTAAGGCGCATCTTGAAGGTATGCCAGACAAGTCACACTTCAAATGAAGATATTTTGTTAAGAACAGGTTGCAAGAGGAAGCTGCTGATTAACATTAGAGACAGTTGGAGTTTCTCGGACACGTTATGAGGAAATAGGAAATTGAAAGTCTGGTAGTAACTGCAACGATTGAAGGAAGGAGAGATTGTGGAAGACAGAGGTTGACTTCCATCAAGAGTCTACCTAAATGGATTCATGTATCGATACTGGAAATTCTGCATGCGTCAAAGAGAAGAGATCTGTGGAAGACAATGGTCACCAACATCCTGTTTGGATATGGT